GAATGGATTGATGAGTGGCTAATTTTCGAATGTACCTTGAAGAGGTTCTGACAGATCCTTGAGATGGGGAACCGAGTGGGTCCAGAGATTGAGGAAGTAACAGAGGTCAGCAGCAGCAGCGTCTAGCTTCTGGCTAGTGAGCCTCAGACGTGGGTTTGGTTCCTAGCTGTTCCCTGAGAGCTGAGGGAGGAATCCAGACTGAGATCTTCAGGTTCAACTTCCTAGCTCTCCCCTGAGAGCTGAAGGAGGAATCCAGGCTAAGACCTTCAGGTTTGGCTTCCTTTGGCAGGCAGGCAGGTTTCCAGGTAAAGCTCATCCAGAGCTTCTTACTTCAGTCAGGCTTTCTGTGAGTAGAGAAGATAGAGACAGGTTAGAATCCAGTTGCTCTCTATAGTCTACTGTGATTTACTAGATGTGCAGAGGCTTAGGTTTGCTAACCAAACTTGGTCAACACTCCGGCGTCGAAGGCAGGTCTGTCTGCTGCTTATGAAGGAAGGTCTCCTGATGGGCTGATGTGCTTCAGGTGTGCTGGAGGCTCCAGCCCAGGAGACCCACAGCGCTCTCTGCTGGAGACAGATGGTAACTCTCCAGATCCCAACAGTAACCCCAGTCCTAACAGAAAACAACATAAAACAGAAGAGGATCCTCGGCGCCCTCTGGTGGGCAAGCCTAAGGATCCCAACAGCCTGGCCCTTTCCCTTGTAGCTTTAGCTGAATATTAAGGTTATTGTCCTGCTTGCTGGTTAACCTGTTTCAGGCTCTAGAAGGTTCTCCTCCAGCGTTGCCTTGGATTTACCTGCATTTTCTAACCATTCCACTCAATTCCACAGCATGATGATAACACTACCATGTTTTACAAAGTGCGTAATGTGTGCAGAATTATTTGCAGAGTTTTATACCTCACAGGATTTCCATGTAGGCTATAAAGTTTATCTTAGGTCAAACTTGGGCACCTTTTCCAAACACTTGTGTTAAGCTTAAACTAAAAATCCTTGTAGCTTTCTGCTACACATTTATTGATACACATTCTAAAGGCTGGTCATTGCCCCTTAACTCCATAGGCAGGGGAGAGAAGCAGGACAAAAGTGAGACCTGAAAAAGCACCATGGTCAGAGAGTTCAGAATTTTGGGTGAGCAAGAAAAGGATTCAATAAAAAGTCGCAGGCAGCCACTCTCCTGTATCCCAAGTATTTTGATGTCTAGTTGTGGGTTTCAGGTTGGGTGGAGGTTTGAGAGGAGGACACCAAATGCAGAGACTGTAGCTGCAGGTAGTTTCTTGCATATTTAATTTAAAAGGTGAGAACTGAAGCAAAAGACATAAATCCACAAAATACTGAGAAGCAGGAATACTCACAGCAAAGGCAAAGAAATGATGATGACCAGCAAACAGTAACTGAACAGGAGGTGTATATATGGGAGACAGAAACAAAGACCAGGCTAATCAGCAGATTGGGAGCAGGTGTGGACAGAGAAATCTAGAAGGGGGTGGGGGAAAAGGAGGCTTATAAAGAATGCAACAGAGGATAAACAACAAATACCTAAGAACTCACTCAAATACAGTCAAAATAACTAGAACAACTCAAAATGGAAATAAATCCAATGAAAGCTCAAAGATAAAACTTTGAGTTTTATAAAACAGAACCAATACCATGACAGTGGGACACCCCCTGTTCAAACTACATCATTATAAAGCCCTGTGTGGATTCTCATTCCCATTAAAATATCCACTATCCAAGCTTCTCAGTGAATTTTGCCAGCGCAGTGTTTGCTGCATTGTACTTAATGTGGCTTTCTGTATGTAATTTTCTGGCCTTCCCAAGGGGAAGGGGAGAGCACAGAACATAAGCCTAGATCTTTTCCCCCCTGAACTGCTATACATTTGTAGAATATCCACTTCTGATCAGCCATAATAATTACTTTGCTTAAGTCATTAACGTTAATTATTTATTAATAGTTATTTCTAAGTTAAGTTGATTTTAAAGATTTGGTAATAAGTTCATAATCCTTTGAAGAACTCATTCTGAAACAAAAATATGCTTAAATTTTAAGTGACAAAATAATCTCTAATAATCTTAATGAAGTAAATCAAATGCCCACATTGGGGTTATTATGAATATTATCATTATTATTATGACATGAAGACATTAATCATTGTTAAAGAGGAAGTCTCTTTAACAGCTGCTGCCTCTAAAGTTAACTCAAAAACCTGCCGATCAGTAGACTTTTACTAATGTTTGATTTGTTTATATTCTAACTCTTATACTCTGAGAAATTTTCGTACAGATAAACACAAATGAGTCATTGTCTTGTAAATAATTCTCCTCTGTTAGTATAAGTCACCTCATTAGTCCTACATAATGAATCAGCTTGCTCAGTAGGGTAGACAAAAACATGGGGAAAGGGAATACTGATGATAGTGGGGTTTTTTTGTTTGTTTTTTTTTCTTTTGCTTTAGCATTTTAAGCCTAATTGGATTTGAGCAATGTCATGTATTTGCATGTGTTGGCTGATTTCTTCAGAATCTGTTTGTGTGCTGTGGTTTGGTTAATACTTACATATTTAAGATGGTGTGAATATGAGAAAATAAAAAAACATGTATAATTTCTTTTTCCTTAAGACAGAGAAAAAGACATTACTGTAAATAATCCAGTAATAATAAATACATAAAGGAAAGTCAAAAAGTTTTAAAATGCACAACACATTTACAAATACTGCATCATTCATCATGACCTTCTCCTGAAAGTCTAATGGACATGATATCAGTCCGAGTTTTATTAGTGTTAATTAACATTTGTTAAGAGGCATCATTTTCAAAATAAAGATTGACCTCCAGATCTAGAAAGAATGAGATGTCAATATGTGTCCTTCTCATTGATTTTTTTGAGGTCTTACAATATTTGTAATGTAGAAAAGGTACATAGGACCATGGAATGTGACCTATTTAAAACCCAGTGTAGTTTAAATACAACTTGGACATTTGTGGTTCTGATGTGATCAATCTCAGTTCAATCTTTCAAATCATCAACATAAGTTTAAAATCAGATAAAGTGAATCTGCATTAATTGAAAAAATTAATCACAAGCAGTGTTTAAATATATATTTATAAATTATTAACTATTTTGAGGGGGTTAAAACAATCTAAATACCAGCAATCTCCATATTATCATGATCCTTTCAGAAAATGACCTGCTGGAGTACTTTGGATTATTTTCCTGCTGCATCACCCAAGTCTAGCATAGCTTTAGTTCATGAAACCAATGGCTGGAAAGTCTCAATAAAGGTACTTTAGGAAAAGTGAATTTCTTGTTCCAAAAATGCAACAAGTTGGACAGATCCTGAAGAAACAAAGCTGTATGACAAACCATAGACAGACCATAGAGTGACACACTTCTTCCTGCTATGTTTCTTTGTTCTTTTGTCAATACACCAGTCCAGTATTTATTTTTATTCTTTGCACATTCAGGTCAACTTACACTGTATTTTGTGCTTATATATAGTTGTGTATTAAACATAAAGTTTGTTTCTAGAGACATATATATATATATATATATATATATATATATATATATATATATATATA